CAATAAATAATAATTCTTTTTTTCAATTTATTCATATTTCTATCTAATAAATTTTCCAAATTTTAAGAAGTGGTATTCAGTTTGCTATGCAAATTCATTGTGAATTTATTACTCCCCCACCTGATACAAGCCAAAAAATATATTCCTACATTGTGATAAATCATATTCTTAAGGTAATTACTAAATTTCAAATAATTTCAAGTTAAAATAAAAAGTAGTTACTATTTATTTTATTTAAAGCATTTTTTTTTTTACTTACCTTATATCTGTTCTTTTAAAAATAATATTGGGTTGGTGCATAATTATCAGGCGTTTTTTAAACAATATTTATTATGAAAAAAGAAACATAACTATTCAACAATAACATTTTTAAATGATTATTCCGGAGCATAGTCACCATCTACTTCATTTTATATCCTGAAAATAAAATAATATTTTTATTAAAAAAAAGTAAAGAAAAAGCAATTTTTATTGAAAAAATAACTTGCCTACAAAAACGCCTGATAATTATGCACCAACCCACTACTTAAATTTCAAAATAATTGCAAAATATGAATTTAACACATTTTCTTCCTTACCTTTTATTATTCTTATTCTTATTCTTCTTATTAGTATTTTTCTTACCTTCTATTTTATTAATTTATGTTTTTGCTTGCATAGAGAAATCAATCTACAATGAATTTACATCGACAACTGATCCCCTGCCCCCTCTTAAAACTTAGAAAATTTTTTGTTTCTTTTTATGTTTGTGATCTTCATTGATATATTGGGGGGGGAAAAAATTTCTTATTTGTGTTTTTTTCTAGAAAATCCATGATTTTAGTTATTGATTTTGGACTGAGTTAAGTTTATCCCAAAGTCACATGTATGAAGTAATGTTTGGAGATCATGCAACCAATGGCTAGGGAAATAAAAACTGTGAATTAATCCATTCTTTGATGGGAGAGTTTTAAAGTGCAGTCAGGGTGAAATGGTTAACCAGTTTTGAGAGTAATTTTGGTTAACTTGTAAATCAGTCTCTTTTGTAGCTTCATTTTAATATCAATTATAAATGTGCAAAGAACATGACTTATTTTTTCCTCCTGTGTGATATCTTTTTTTATTATATACTCTGTGATAATCTAATGGCTAAACTATAAAAATTAATATTGAATAATTGGCAGATCATTTTGTTTAGATAAAGTAAAGAAATCAAATCCTAACTTGGTCTAAAGAAGTCTTTGTTATACATTAATCTAGCATAGGCTTAACAAGCAAACACTAAAAGGAAATCATTCTAAATAAATACAGATGAATAATTAAGGTAAATTCTTCTACAGAGTGCAAAGGGTAAATTGTCGCCATTTTATATTTTTAATTTCTCACATGCACATTGTTTTTGATTTTGTTGACTGCAAAGTATAGTAGGGTCAGTTGGGCACCATCTGTGAAAAAAAAGAGCACCATGGTGTAATTTACTCTGCCAGAAATTTGGAAATGGTACTTCTTAGCATTCATGCCAGGGGTTCCAATGTGAACATTTCAGAGTGTTTGGGTGTCAATCTGAGAACAGTGCAGAGGATTCGAAAAGAATTGGATAATATATCCACTTAACATCATGGTGTTTGGAGTGATCACTAATGATGGCAATGTTATGCCTCCATTCCTGCTCACGGGGCTTCAGATTGAACACGGAAGCCTACATCGTGTCTTGATGTGGTGGTGCTGCCCTGGGTCAAAAGGGTGTCAACTGGATGACCCTATGTCTGGCAACCTAGTCATGGCTGTCAGACAATCTCTGCAACCACATCACCCCCTACATCTGGGCACCTAACTCCCCAGACTGCAACCCTTTTCATTATTATTATGTGTTGGGTGCAGTTGAATGAGAGACCAACAAAGCTCCTAACACCAAAGATGAACTGAAGGTAAGGATTATAGCAGCATTCACCAACTTAAACAAGGAGACCCTCCATAATAATTCCAGGAGATTCCAAAATTGTCTGGAGGCCATGGTTGAAACCAATGGCGATTTTATTGAATAAATTTACTCTTTAGTATTTCAAAATATTTTTGTGTAATTTTGGTAAATATATCTGTTAAAATGAGATGTCAGTGTTATTTTCATTTTTGCATAATTTAGATGACAATTTATCCATCACGTCATGAATGAGAATCAAACAACACAAAAATAAAAATACCAGAAAATTTTTTTTCATACGTCATTCTCTGATGAATTTTTAATAAAAGTGAAACATGTTAGATTTATAAAAATTTCCTATTTGTTCTTTATCCTGTTTGATATATATATGGGATTCTGAAATCTTCCTGGTTCAACTAAGAAAGGATTTTTTTTTTTTTAAATTCTGGTATTTGCTCTGGTTTCAGGAAGTTTGTTAGGGTGAAAACTTTTCAGTATCCTTTTATGTATGTAACTTTTAAAATATAGTTAATGTTAATTTCCCCTGAAGCACAACTGGCTAGGTCTTTTGTGCCTTAAAAAAAATTCACATAAACTTAGTTGCTTATGTTCATATTTTCAATGTAGAAAATTTTCCGAGTCAAGTTAAAGAGCTATTAGTCTATTGTCTAAGTAAAATTCATGATGTTAAAAAAAACTAAAACGTATTTCCCCAGAAAAGCTCTTTTTCCATTCCAAGTCTAACAGAAAGTTAGTTTCATGCTTTTAGACAAAGTGTAAAGAATTTTTTTGAACTCAAGCATAGACAATGTCTGTTAGCATGATAACCAATTATCAACAAAAGTTAATACATTATATCAAAAATACATGACTGGGATTTAGTGTTTAATCTTTGTCTGATAATATTTTAAAAATATATATTTTATTAATTTTGCATTCAGAAATCAAGTAAGAAGATTGTTACAATTAAGCATTTTATATATATATATATATATATATACATGATGAAGAATAGAAACTTTATGTACATGTTCTAAGAAGAAAAATTTAAAGTATCAATTTATACAAGGGACATAACTGCAACACAATTAACTAGGACAAGGGAAATAATTTTGTCCTTTAGCTAAGTCAAAGGCTGATCAAATGGTTTAAATATTTCATTTACTTTATAAATTTAGTTCTCACCAGATGATAAAATATTTCTTTTAACACACACAGTAATTCTAATATAATGATTTTAGCTGGATGAACTAATTTAAAAAATTAAAAAAGATTCCTGATAGAAGTTTTAAACGTGTAAAGGCTGTCTCTTGAAGTGTGAAATTTTGGAGATTAATTTTTTCACAGAAGCCAACAATAAATAAAAAAGATAAGTTACTTGTTTGCTTAAAAATAAAAGGTTTATTCAATTTGAAAGTTTTGAGTTTCAAATGTTAAAAATAGATTGAAAGAAATAAATAGAATTGCGGTATTATGTGATAAGGGAAACAGAAAATAAGATTTTAATACATTGTATCTGAGAAGTCGCATTATCAAAAATAGTCTTTTTTTTTTTTTTTTTTCATACTTCCATAAATGATGTTTCAGAAAATAGAGTAGGTCAGTTAAAAGTGCAGTACCCTGATTGTATACATGTCTTTTTATTTAATTTGTGCTTCCAAATATTCTGAAAATTCCATTGATAAAGAATTAATTTTATCCTTGTTGCCCATTTCAGAAAGATCTCAAAAGCAGGAAATAAATCTAAATAATTTAGAAATTTTCATTTGTTGCAAATAGAAAAATTTCTAGTTGTAATTGCACTCCACTTTTTTCTCTTTTCACATAACTATTCATATTAATAGTCCATATAAATAATACTACCATCTTTGTGTGCATGTTAACAACTAAAAAGATTTCATTTAAAAATTTCTTTGGTAAAAAATAAATAAATAAATTTTTTAAAAAATCCACTTTTTGTAGAAAGTGGAATTGGCAAGGTGGGTTTAAATACCATCTTGGTTTATTGTCTGGAAAAAATAAGAAGCCAACCAAACCCACCCTCAGTTATAGGTGGGAAGCCAATCTCAGAGAAGAAAAATTCAAACCAGCTCGGTATACATGGGCTGTGGAGTATGAAAAGGGTATTCTTTACATTAAAGCTTAGTTTGACCGTTCATTGTAACAGATCTTCTTCCATCTCTCCTGGATCTACATTGCAGCAGAATCTTGGAGATATTGAAAGAGTGAGTCAGGACCCATGCAAACTCTACTCCCCTAAAAGATCACATGCTATCTATCCTCATTCTTTGTGGTGGATACTAATACAAAGATTTGTATGCACATGTCAAATATTATGAAGCAATATTCAGTTACCCTTATGATGGAAAGCACACCACTAATGAAGATCTTTTGCAGCCCATATCTCCTAATTTTGTTTTCATATCTAAAACAAAGGGTACGTGAGTTATGCTTTGCCATGAAGCCCTTCCTGGCTGAGTGATCTAAAAGCATACCAAGCTATTAAATTAAATATGTAAACTATATCAGTTAAAAGCTGATGATGTGTTTTAATTTCTGAGTGATCATTATTTACATTCAGACTAATGTTCTCACTTTTATCACAATGTTTCAGCTGTTGTACCTTACAGTCTTCTAAATGTTTCTTAAAACAGTTAAAAAAAACTTTCTTAAAACATTTTACACACTATAAAAAAACTTTATTTTTGTAAGCCAATTATTCTAAAAGAAAAATTTGGAATTATTTTCTTTCAACACAAATTAAAAATTGTCATTTGCTTCTCATTTTTATATATATATATATATATATATATATATATAATATAAATATAAAGAATACGCATTTATGAAAATAATACCTCATCAGTTGACATGTAAAAATGATGTCACAAAATTCTTATAAACATACACAAAAGAAAATGGAGAAAATAGTTTTAAAATAATATTTTAAAAACACAAAAAATAATAAAAAAAAAAAATACTTGTTTCTGGTTATTTAATTTATCTGTCAAAGATACTAAAATGTACATTTGCATTTCAACTGAGCACCCCTAATCCATTATCATAGATGACAGTTATGTTGTCTTGTTTCCACCAACAGATAACTTGGATGAGTCGCCATCTCAGGAAATGATTTGTAAACGTTCTACCCTGGATGCCCGAGCCCGATGGCGAAAAGCAATTCAGGAAACATTGCTTCTCATCCGAATGAACAAGGAAAACCAAAACCTGAGAGGTGAGCAATCGCCAAGATAACTTTCATATTTGATTCACAATAATTTCATTAAAAAAATTCCCTCTCCTCATTTGTAAATTTGAACATGTCTGAAATAGAATGGAAGGCAACAAGTCTTTTGGGAAGAGTTTTTTTTCACTTTAATTTTTTTTCTTTTTTTTTCTTTTTTTTTACTCCTCTAACAATCATCATTTATTATCTTCTGCAAACATCATATTATTTCTTGTTTTTATCATATATATAAATTATCATATTTTTCATATATGTCCAGTAGGATATATATAAACATATATATGTATGGTATCATAATTTATCATATATATATTTTTTCATATAAGTTTTTATAGCACAAATTTAACATTTATTAATCATTAGCATTCCTCTTTAAGAAATTATCTGCTTTCTTTAACACATATTTTGATCACAGTTCTCATCTGAGAGTAATATATTCTTCTTTTTTCAGCTGAATTTATTCCTAAAGAAAAAGCAGATTTAAATTGTCTGTTCAGCAAAAATTTGTCATTGCCTTATCCCCCCCCCTGCTCTTCCTGTAATACAGCTTGAAAACTTTTTTTTTTGGTAAAAAAAAAAAATTACTATGAGAAAATCTCCCAGTAGATATATTTGATGTGATATACAGAAAATATACAATTCTGCTTGCTACGTAATTAAATATCAACACAGTTTCCAACTCGGCTTTTTAAAAAATTACTTATTGCTAATTTATTTTAATATGAAAATATCAAAAACAAGATTTGTTTTCATTGCTTCCATCAAATATTTTTGTACATGATCTCCACAACTATTTCATACCCAAGAGTTCAATTTCTGGTAAAAATTAGTATTTTTAGTCATGTCTTTGCAGTAAATATGCAAAAATTACACATTAATAAGTAAAATCTGCTCTCATAGTTGATAGTGCAAATGAATGCAAGCTCCATTAGATAATCAGCCTAATGAGCCACATAACAAAACTTATCAAGCGAATTCTGATCAATAGAGCCCATGGCAACTTTAGGACAAGAACAGTGCGGCTTCATTAAAGACACTGAAAGAAAAAATGTGATATCTATTCTCAGAATATCAGAAAGACCAATACAAATCCAGGAAGATGTATACTTATGTTTTATAGATTATGCAAAAGTGTTTGATAAGGTATGACACAAAGAATTATTTGAATTGCTAAAAAAAGCTCTATTTATTTGGGAAAGTTATTAGAAAATTCAGAATTCATACTTGGAACGAAGCACTTGTATAGAGATACAAAATGAATTCAACAGAGGAAATAACCTATCTAATGAACTTGACAGAATAATGATTTGGAGAGACAGGAAAAAGACAAACATTGCTAAGTACAAAAATGGACAAAAAGTAATGAAGGGCCATGATCACACACTTCCTAAAGGAACATGACACACAGGAGAAAAAATTCACAAAAATAAAAAGGGGGGTATAAGACAGGAATGTGTCTTCTCACCAGATTTATTCAACATGATCCTGAGAGAATAAAGGATAAAGGTACCTACCACACAAAATTTAAACAATACACTGCTAGCCATAAAAATCTTAAGGCCAATGGAAATAAAGAAAAAATATACTTTTTGCATTGTTAGGCTCAATCACTTATTAGTAGAGTTAGCAAGTTCTACTTTGATTAGAATAATACTATTATTAATTTACACCATCCAATCACTTGAACAAGGACTGTGATATCTGTTCTCTGAATTACATCAGAAAGAGCAATACAAATACAAGAGGATGTATACCTATGTTTTATAGATTATGCAAAAGTGTTTGATATGGTATGACAAAAAATTGTTTGAAGTGATAGGAAAGATTGATTTATTTGGGTAAGATTTTAGAAAATCCAGAATTCATACTGGGAGCAAACAGATAGAAAATGAATTCAGTAAACACACAAAAATCTAAATGAGCATAAGAGACAAAGAATTATTCAACCTTTACAGCAAGGTGATCCTGAGAGAACTAAAAGTCCTACCAAAATTTTTTATTGGTGGACACAATCTTAACAATTCAAGATATATGCATATAACAGTGTTGATAGCAGATATAGAAAGGAAACTTGAAGAATTCTTACAGAAGATATCGCAGGAAAGTGAAAAGGGGAGGATTAACCATCAATTGTAAGAAGAATAAATGTATGATTGTCAACAAGAGGAACGGTCCGAAAAATGAACTACAAACTCTTCTATAGAATCACATTTCTGTTGCTTCTTCATTTTTGAGAAGATTGTCCAGCATTCACTGCCATACAGGAAAGGACTGATAATTACACAACAGTTCAGTACTCTTTTCTTTGCTTGTAACAAAATTTCCTGTTACTTAAGACTTTGCTTAGCTTTTAGAAGACATCTTTCATTATTACAATGCACCTTTGGAGATCAGTGTCACATTTTTCATCCTTTATTAAAACATTTTCTAGACATTTAAATTTCCGTCCTTCCTGTTTGGCAGTGAATGCTGGACAATCTCTCAAAAAATGAAGAAGCAACAGAAATGTGATTCTATAGAAGAATTCTGAGAATACCATGGACTGAACATGTGAGTAACAAGGAAATTTTAAGGAAAATGAAAACAAAAAGGATGCTTATATTTAGAATCAGAAAGAGAGTCAAAATTTCTAGGACACATAATGAAGAAATTGGGCTGAGAAAATTTGATCCTTACAGAACGTACTAAAGGCAAGAGGGACGCAAAGAAAACAGCAAGTAAACCTAATGACCTGGTGTAAATGGATAGCATAACAGGAAGTGAGATGGATGATGAAAAGGTAAACCTTACTAAGAGTTACAAAGTATAGGAAGTTATGGAGAGTCATGATCACCCATATCCTAAAGAGATACAGCACATAGAAGTTTAACTAAAAGGATTAACAAAGTCCTTAAATTCATAATGATCAACCTTATATTAAAGAGGAGAATTGACGTTCAATCACAAGTAGCTACATGTTTTTTCTTTCTTTTTTTTTTTTTTAACTATAACCTAATAATGATTAAAAATTGATTTTGTTTATGAGATGAGTTTAAATAAACAAAAAAGAAATTTTCTCTCTGAAACCATTTGAACTTTCACTTTTTTTTCTTTCATATTCTTTTTTTTTTTTTTTCTTAAATCCTCACCATTGTCTTTTTTCTTCACCCTACTGTTCTCAGTGTTAAAGATACCATGGTTTGTCATAAGAATTCAAGGTACCTCTTCTCAATCCTTTATTGTATTCAGAATATATCTTTTTTTTTTTTTTTTTTTAAGGGCAGCAGTTTTCTTGGAAAAAAATTCCTCTACTGATAAAAATATACAGTGGAGTTTTAGATGAATTCTCTCTCTCTCTCTCTCTCTCTCTCTCTCTCTCTCTCTCTCTCTCTCTCTCTCTCACACTCACACTCACACACACACACAAAAATAAAAAATAAAGAAAACTCTGGCAAACATTTTGTATGTATGTAATGAATATTCTATAAGAAAACTTATTCAGTTTGTCCACATCTCCATGTCCATTGTGTCTCTGGTTGTAGCCAGCTATGCTTAGATTCTAACCACTTGTCTCTTTATTGTTTTATCAATACTTTGTAAGTTTGAGTTTTTTTCAATGTAGTTGTCTCCCTTCACATGAGAATTTCCTGTCACAGACTAATCAGCATTGTAACAATTTGAAATCTGCTTTTTGCTGGTAGTACAACATTTCCTTAAATCTTTATATAATATATAGTTTATCAAGCTTCATGGAAAATACAATCTGACTTTGAACCTTTTCATTCCAATTGATTTACCCAAAAGAACTACAGATAATATGAGCATGTCTTTCTAGGGATTTGTTGAATTTTTAACCATTCTGGATCTGGGTTTACAAAATAGCCTTGTATGATGCATGTCTGTCTTTTTCTACCATGTTGTAATGATATTAAAACATTACAAATCAAGAAATGGCTTCTCTAGATTCTTTACTATTAAGTATGATTACAATGTTATATATAATATATACTATACTGTTTGGTAGTGTACCAGTTCAAGCTTTATAACAGTCCTAGAAAGAGTTGAAGAAATTTGAATAGCTGAGGCACCACCCTCTTGGTTATTTTGTGAGTTTTTCATGTATTGATGTTATTTTCACATTATTAGTAATAATAGATAAAAAAAAAAACATTACATGCTACACTAAAGAAAAATATTAATTTAAATGTTTTTTCTTTTTTTTTTTTAAATAAATGCTGAAAATATCTTTACTATCATCTATGAAAATTTTGTAATTTCAAGATTTTTATCTGATGGCTTCTTTCAGTTATTCTCTTCTTAGCAATCTTAAACCTTCATACCCACAAAAAAAGTGTCAAAAGTATGAATTTTTGCATGACACTGCTATAATTTTAACTACCTTCACTCCTTGTAAATGTTTATTGTTTAAAGAAAGGGATGATTAGATATGTAATAAAATACATGATGAAAGTGAATTTATACATTTGAGAATTTACAACAAAAATATTAAACCCTATTTATTAGATTGTTATATTTACAAGAATAATTTTACATTTGCAACATTCTAAAAACTAAAACAATTGTATTAAAACTAATGCAATATTTATCATTTATCAATTTATAAAGAAATAAATATGAAAAAAATTTATTCATAAATTTATGAAGATTTATTAAAATATGAGTAGAAGCTATAAGGAAATTCTTGCAATTTACTATTTTATAAAGTTTAAACTGGTTGGCTGATGTTTTTTGCCAACCATTCCAATAAATAATCTAATAAATAAATAGTGTTTATTATTTTGGTTGTCAATTCTCAAGAACAAAGAAAATGTATAATCATATTTATGTTTTATCATAATTCTAATCTTTGCTTTTTAAAATGATAAACATTGCCAAGGAGTGAAGGTTGTTAAAATAATAGCAGTGTCAAGGGAAAAACCATCCTTTTGGCAACCCTTTATTATTTGTGGGTGTGAAAGTTCAAGATTGTCCTCTTTATAAATATTCTA